ATTATACTTTAGTACTTCTATAATAGATTATTGTTACGAAACAACATAGTGATGTTAGAATAATAAATCAAATTTATATAAATGAAATATCAAAAGACTAACAATGGAGTACAGCCTTCGCGACGTTATAACAAATTATTACTGCGTTACAAGCGTAAACAACAATTTATTAAGCTCTCCCGTGTTCTAGCCTTTGCCCTTGACTTAGGCGCAGATTAAAAAAACATAACTCAAGTTACATCACACATCAGCTACCTACCAGTCCAAGTCCCGTCATAATCAGTCCAGCCCTTTCGGAGATAATCCAGATATTTTTTTTAATATCAGAAGATGGCAAACGAGCAAGCGGCCACCTGAAATCGCTGAAATAGCGAGGTGACCGTTGCCCATAGACATACGAAATTGCATATGCGTTGCCTACCTTTAATCGACGGAGGAGAGGATGCACAGAAAGAAAATATTTTCCCTTCCCATGCATCCTCTCATCCGAAAAGTCCACTTCCACTTCCCATCCTTTCCTTATAAGAAAGAGGATGGGAAGGGAAAGAGGACTATATAAGGCCTCCGGGACGCACACTCATCAGACGAAACGTGGAATTGCTTCCACTTCATGCCTGTCTTCTGTGTGGTCGTGGTATATCACCGAGCGAGCCGGGACAATTCGTGCGAAGATGTTAAAGCGGGCTCTACCACTGTTAGAGACCAGATCGCAAATGTTTGCGAAATGTTTTTTTCCAAAATATTTCAGACAATGCAATTTTACTAATTTCGCAGATTGATGAAGATTTGCTTGGTGACAATAATTTGCCTGTCAAATGAAAATTTGACATCCGATCATTCTTAAAATTAGGTAATTCATCATCGTCATCATCAGTTCACTATACGTCCCCACCGAGGGGCTCGGAGCCTACCCTAAGTTAAGGGTGATTAGGCCAAAGTAAACCATGCTGGCCCAGTGCGGGTTGACTTCAGACATATCTTTGAATTTATTCGCAGATATGTGCAGCATCACGATGTTATCCTTCACCACCTGGTGAAGGAACCAACTGTGAGTTTATAATATAGTTTATCTCTCTCATACTGTCCTGAATGGTTGAGATAGTATTATGTATTTTGCTTTGCAATGGAATTAAACTTTTTTTTTTATAACAGAAGGGGGCAAGCGAAGTGTACAACGACGCCCATGGACATCAGCAATACCAGAGGCACCGCAGATGCGTTGCCGGCCTTTGAGGTGGTGATAGGCTCGCTTCTTGAAGGACCCTAAGACTTTCGTAACTTTCCATAAATCTTGAACTCGGATCAACAATATTAAGTTCCCATCAATGTGTAAAACAACACTAGTTCATTTGATATCGGAGTATTATCTTCTTGTTATAAGAACTTAAGTAACTTACGTTACTTTTGTACTTATGTTATTGGAATTTTGTGAAGCTTTACAATACTGTTAGGTTGGGCGAGTAAACTTTGTCGAATTTAAATAGCCTGCGACTCCGTTTACGCGGAATTAAAAAAAAAAACTTAGTAAGTAGCCTATATGTTCATGTAGACTATGTTCTACATTTATGCCAAATTTCATTGGGATCTGTCAGCCGTTCTGACATGCCACGATAACTTCAAACAAACATCCATTCATCTATTTTTTAAATATATCCACGCGGACGGAGTCGCGGGCGACTGCTAGTTTATAATATTAGTAAGATGTACTTATGCTTAGAAGAACTTTTAATGAATAGAAGAAATATGTTGAAATACTTACTTAATAATATAAATTTAATAAACATTCAAACCTCCGTTCCGAATGAGGAAATTACGTAACTGAGACAATGGAAGACGAGGAAGGTTCAGGAGAATTTTCAGTCAAAGCTTAACATAAAAGCTTTTGTTACTGTTGCATAGTTTGTTTCAAGCGACGTAAAATTTTACAATTCACACTGTTTCGTACACGTTAAAATACTAGCCGTTCAACGCGGCTTCTCATGTATTTAATTTTTTAGGAAGGAATAAATCCACCATCATTTTCTAAATATAGACAACAAGCTGTCGCCTGCGACTCCATTCGCTTAATTGCCTTTCTTTTTTTTTCTAAGAGCGTCGGTGTCTCAGGGGTCAAGCACTTGAAATCTGCAGGTCCTGGGTTGGAATCCCGCCATGTACTAATGTGTTTTTCGATTTCTAGGGTAGGCTTCGAGCCCCTCGGTGGGGACGTATAGTGAGCTAATGATGATGCCACAGAGATCCGTAAAGCCGTTCTGGAGATACCTCCTAACAAACATACAACCATCCATCCATGCACCCAAACAATCTTATTTATAATATTAGTAAGATTATTTGTGCAAATTTTATCGACTGACTAACAATAAACAACATTCTTTTGTATTTTTAGGGTTCCTTACTTCATAGGAAAAAAAACGGAACCCTTATAGGATCACTTTGTTGTCCGTCCGTTTGTCTGTCAAGACCCTTTTTCTCAAAAACGCCGTGAAGGTATCAAGCTGGAATTTATTAAGTACTTATGGGCGCCCAATATTAGAAATTTGAACCTAATTAACAATAAAAAAGTACCTTTATGTACTTCTTTACATCTACTCTATCTATCTATCTCTCGTGTCACTTTCCATAAAGGAATACAATGTTTAATTCACATATTTATTCCCGAAATAATTGCTTTTCTGTCAGTATGCCAAAGTATACGTACCCTTGTTGGAATACTCGATAACGTGTAAGGAATCTAATATTGGAATTCAACAAAACAATTTTATATTGATGTTTTTTTTATTATGTGTGCTTTTTGAAAACGGCCAGGACGTAGGCACGAGATGAACAAAAAATAAAAAAAAAAAAACAAAGCAAATCAGACAGACTGTTACACGGTTAAAACCAAAGACTTTTAACATAATAGATAGGATAGTAATGAAATAGGACTCTTTAAAAAATGTACAGTTTTCCTTGTTCTTGTGACTAGGTACTGACGATTGTGCGAATATGATTAGATTTTTTTTTCAAATATTACCACATTTTTATTAATTTACAAAGCTTGTACTATGATACGGTTTACGACAATAGTCAAATGGCGGGATTTGAACTCTAAACAATGTGATCGGAAATCCGTATCCTTAACCATTAGGCTATTGACGCTTTAAATTTGATGAAAATTATCGTAATGTCCGCTCTATAACTAATGAATCTCTTTAGGCAAAACAATGTATGATGTCCACTGATCTCTATGGAAAATTTTGCTTTTGTGTAGCTTTGACATTAAATGTTTTATTTTGTTCGTTGCTGTTGATGATACTGACAGTTTATTTGCGCGTTTGAGTAAAACTAGTAGGGTAATATTATTGCGCGCAAATGTTACTTCCGTTGTTTATCTGAAGGCTAAACTGCTGAACAGATTTTGACGTGTGTGGTGTCATTCGATTCATATTGTTTTCCAGAATGTTCTAGAGGTATAGTCGGTCATGTTTTTTTGGTTGTTTACTTTATAAATTATATTGATTTATTCAAACTTTCGTGAGATATTATCTTATATCTTTAAATGAGCAATTCTTGTATATATATAATATATAATTGGAATCTCGGAATCGGCTCCATCGATTTTCATAAAATTTAGTATATAGGGGGTTTCGGGGGCGATAAATCGATCTAGCTAGGAATCATTATTAGAAAATGTCATTTTATTCGTGTTTTATCGATAATCAACTTAAACATAAACTTAACTTTTTCTATCGGTAAGATCGAATAATATTATTCATATTTCATCATTTTATTAGTAAATCGTTCTTAAATATAATTTCCAAAAAACACAATTAAAAAAAAATACCGAGCAAAGTCCCGGTCATCCAGATTTTAATAAAATTATATTTAAAAAAACTGGACGAATATACATGAGTGTTTAGCCTTTTTTTTGTTTTTTTTTTTATTAGATATATGTTATGTCCCAATGTTAGGAAACCATTTAAAAGCAATCATATGATTACTTAGTTAACATGTTATTAGTATTTCATAAAGCACGATTAAAACTTAATTAATCCAAGTTATTTTAATCGTATTCGCTTTAGAATTCGTTTCTCGATAACGTGTAAATAACAAGTTAATTAACTTGGAGGCAATCTTATTAAATACATAACATAAATACTAAGAAATTAATTAATTTTCATTAAAACAAAGATTTTATAAGTAAATAAGGAATATTCAACACACAGGAAATTTGTATTTAAAATCGTCTCTAAATATAAACGCACAATGCCCAGTTTACACTATTCCAATCCAGGGATCGACTCCAGTTGTAATCCAGCAAGTCGGTTGTAATAAACAAATGAATAGTGATAAAAGAAAAATAACAAAAAGTACATTTTTACCATAATCTTACTCTTACTAATATTATAAATGCGAATTTTTAGATGGACGGATGATTTTTTAACGGATCTGGATGAAAATTGGTATACATATAGAACATAGTCTGGAAAAACCCGTAGGCTACATATAATGTTGTTTTTTAACTCCACGCGAACAGAGTCGCGGGCGACAGCTAGCCTACAAAAATACTGAGATGTCACAAAATTGCTATTCTGTTTTTGCAGTAAAAAAAAACAAAAATGTTTTTCACTGTATTAAATGGCATTAAACATTTAAGTGCCATACTATAGAAAATAAACAACGGATGTAATCAAAGTCTCTGATGAAGTTTCTGTTTATCTGTTGAATTCATTTGTTCGAATTCAAACAAATGAATTCAACAGAGCGAAGCGTCGGGTGAAATAGTTTTGTAAACTATTTATTTTGTTGCGATTCGAATTGTTTTACTGTTTTTTTTATAAATGGATAAAATTATTTCTATTATGCGACTGTTTTTGAAACATACAAGTTTATTAAATATGTAACTATGTAACCAACTTAATAAATTTTGAAAAAAATTGACATTGACAGCTTGTGGCCAGGTCATAAAATTATTAAAATAAATGACAGCTTGTAGAAGACGTTCCGCGTTCCGTCTGTTCTATATGTCAGTGAACCTGTCACGAAACTCAACGTCAACAATCTTGAATTTCTTAAAGTGGTGTTTGAAAATTAAGAATTTCTGTTTATAAATGCTGCAAGTTTAGTATTGATATAAAAATGGCAAGTATTACGTCGTACAACAATGACAAAGTCGTCACAGGGGAAGTGGAATATCCTGCAAGTGATCCCGCATCGGGCGCATTCTTCCAACCAGATTATAAAAAGTATGTACTTTACTTATATCGAGATCTCCCATTATTTCCCTTTCTTTAAGCTAAATCTTCTTTAAGCTTTAATCTAAAATTCTGCTAAACTGTATAATGACTTTTGTATTTTAATTTTAATAAACAATAAACAATTTTATATTTTACAGAAATGAAGACCTGAAGCTAATGCTAGATGGTTCGAAGGATTCTTTGAAGTTAGAGGCAATGAAAAGAATAATAGGAATGATTGCTAAAGGAAGAGATGCTTCAGATCTGTATGTTTAATTTTATATTACATATTTATGTTTCAAATAAACACTAAGTTTGTAAACATTGTGAACACTTAACTCATAAATATACAAACATCCATACATCCATCCATCCAAATGCATTCGGATTTATAATATTAGTAAGATTTATTCTAACTTAAAAGATTGTATCATTTATTTAATTATAAAATCTTAAATAGTTTTCTGTTTCAATTTATAATGTTGATAAAAATTAGTTTTGTATTTGTAATTATTCACTCAAGTGTTTAAGAAATTCACAATGTATTTTTTTAGTTTTCCAGCAGTTGTTAAGAATGTAGTATCAAAGAACATAGAAGTAAAAAAGCTGGTGTATGTATATTTGGTGAGGTATGCTGAGGAGCAGCAGGATCTGGCTCTCTTATCTATCAGCACATTCCAACGGGCTTTGAAGGTAATTTTTATTAACTTATAGCTGTTGTCTCCGTCAGTATGGCATAAAAAATTGTAGCCTGTTTGTGGTTCTAGACTATGTTCTGACTAATCTTTGATGAATTTCAGTAAAATCTATGCATCTGTTCTGAAGATACCTTTTTACATTCATTCATCCATCCACTGAAACATTTGCATTTGTAATATTAGTAAGATAGCGGTCACCGGAGACTGATTAAGCGCAGGATTAAATAAAAGTTAATTAGCAGCCTATATGTTTCAGGCTATGTTCTACATTTATGCCAAATTTCAGGGAGATCCATGCTGGAGATACCTTGTAACAAACATCTATGCATCCATACCTTTATAATATTAGTGAGATTGACTAAATGTTTATGTTATATTTTAGGACCCCAATCAACTAATCAGAGCTAGTGCATTAAGAGTGCTATCTTCAATCCGTGTTACTATGATAGTGCCGATAGTGATGTTGGCAATAAGAGACTCCGCCAGTGACATGAGTCCTTATGTACGTAAGACTGCCGCACATGCTATACCAAAGTTGTACAGGTATGTTATTTTATAATATACCATCTTCACTTTAACTTTAAATCCTATGCAACTAAAGGAGTTACAATCTCTTAAGTGAGGGTTTCTGTGAACAAAATCCATGGTTAAACCAGAGATAATGACGGTAATATACAGAGATTTTGTTCTCGGAAACCCATGGTAAGAGATTTCTTAACAGACTTTTTATTTTTCTTATAAAACAAGTGTTTATTTCTAGTCTCGATCCAGAACAGAAAGAAGAATTAGTGGCAATTATTGACAAGCTATTGTCAGACAAAGCTCCCCTAGTAGTAGGGTCAGCTGCGATGGCCTTCTCCGAGGTCTGTGGTGACCGAGTCAGCCTTATACATAGGAGTTACAGGTTTCTATTTTAAAGTACTCAATAAACAAACAAACTTATTGATTTTATCAATGGTAGGCAATCATTTAGAATTGAAATATTAATTTTCTTAAAAATTTATCTTCAAATAGCTCTCACCGACGACTCTGTCTGCTCGGAATTAAAAACTTTATAAGTAGCCTATGTGTTCTTCCAGACTATTGTCTACCTCTATGTCAATTTTAGCGTCATCGATGCAGCTGTTCTGAAGAGATCTTCAAACAAACATCCATCCATCCATCTAAAGTTTCGCATTTATAATATTAGTATTTCCTTTTTTTTTTACTCTTTTCCATATTTCCAATAAATCTAGTTGCAGTAAATGGTTGAAGATCTTGGAGACAGATATAACATTTCAGGAAGCTGTGCTCTTTACTCGCGGATGTAGACGAGTGGGGTCAGCTGGCGCTGCTCAATGTGCTGACAGTCTACGCTAAGACATGCTTCCCAGACCCCAATGAAGAGGTATACAACACCTTACCTTTTTTATTGTACAAGGCTAACTAGTATTTATTTCTTTATGTACAGTCAGCTGCAGAAATGCCATTTACAAAGCTTCAGTAATTATACACTTTTGGTTTTAAAAATATGTATGAACGAATATGTTCCTATGCTTCTGTCTATTAGTATATGTTCGTGTGCATTGCTATCCGAAGACCTATACAAGTTACTAAAGTATTGTGTAATAGCTGTGGCCTGCGACTCCGTCCGCACGGAACTAAAATAAAACTTTGTAGCTTATGCTATGTTCTACATCTATGCAAAATTTCAGCCAAATGCAGCCATTCTGGAGATATAATACTTTGTAAGAAACATACCTACATACACCCATCCAAACATTCGCATTTATAATATTAGTAAGATGTTTACATATTTATACAGCTGACTGTACATCTCCTCCCTCGAATTAAATTTCACTGTCCATCATTTGGAGAACACTAAAATTGAATAAGATTTGCTGTTTTTTTCTAGAATTACTCGAGTGACGATTCAGCGGACAAGCCGTTCTATGACTCGGACAGTTCAGGCGGGGGTGGGGGCGGGGGCGGAGACGCCGGGGGCAGGTCCAGGTCGTCTCCCAGCGTGGAGCCCGACCTGCGCCTGCTGCTGCGCGCCGCTCGCCCGCTGCTGCAGAGCCGCAATGCCGGCGTTGTCATGGCGGTCGCACAGCTCATGTACCACTGCGCACCAGGTCTGTCGTATACACTAAATTGCCCTCCCAATTCACTTTCTAAGACTCGACTAGTAGAATACAAAATAAACAAATCCAAGATGGCCGCCATCACAAAATGTCGGAAACTTGAAAATAAATTATTTAAGTTTTTTTTTTCGTTTTTAATATAGCTCAAGAACTGCCGCCTGTGGCGAAAGCAATGATTCGTCTGTTGCGAGCACCCATTGAGGTGCAAAGTGTGGTGCTCAACTCCATAGCCGCACTCACAGTCACCAGACGGGTAAGATTTTGCTAAATTAGCGAAGTGACCAACCTATAAAATCTGCCATAAGTAGAATAGCTTCAGATGTGTTCATCATCATCAGTTCACTATACGTCCCCACCGAGGGGCTCGGAGCCTTCCCTAAGTTAAGGGTGATTAGACCATAGTCAACCACGCTGGCCGAGTGCGGGTTGACTTCACACATATCTTTCAATTTCTTCTCAGATATGTGCAGCATCACGATGTTTTTTCTTCATCGTAAGAACGTCGGATAAATGTACATATGTAAATGGTAAATGGAAAAACACATTGGTACATGGCGGGATTCGAACCCAGGACCTGCAGATTGCAAGTCAAGTGCTTGACCACTGAGCAATCGACGTCTCAGATGTGTTGCCCGCTTTAAATAAACAGAATAATAACGTACAGAAAATAAGATTTTTTCCCTATCTGTCCCCTCCTCTGTCAAATTTACTTCATAAGTGTGAAGATCAGTTATTTCTCTTTCCAGTCACTATTTGAACCGTTCCTCAAATCATTCTTCGTACGTAACTCGGATCCGACACACATAAAGCTTCTCAAGCTGGAAATATTGACCAACTTGGCGACGGAGGCGAGTGCGCCAGTGGTACTGCGCGAGTACCAGACCTATGTGTCCTCCAGTGACAAGACATTCGCTGGAGCGACCATACAGGCCATAGGCAGGCTGGCTGTCGCCATACATACGGAGACCGAGACATGTCTCAATGGACTGCTGCATTTGCTGTCCAGCAAAGATGGTGAGTGATCTAGGAATTTGTGTCAGGTCAGGTGAGATCTGACCCTCACAGATAGAGTTAGAGTGTAGTTATGTGGTCGCAGAGTGGGTGGTGTGCGAGGCGGTGGTGGTGGTGAAGCGCGTGGTGGGGGGCGGGGCCAGCTCTGCACGCGCCGCAGTCTCCCGCGCCGCCAAGCTGCTGCGCTCCGACAGGTATTTTACAAAAATAACTAAACAATTTAGTAACTCACAAAGATTATTATGGTGCATACAAAATATTGTATTTCGTGATGTGGATGTAGACTGGCGGCCAACGCCCGCGCTGCTGCTGTGTGGCTGGTGGCGGAGCACGGGGCGAAGCACCCTCGTGCTGCCGCCGTACTCGCCCACATGGCCTCCAACTTTGCTGACCAGGTCTGTATTTATTTATCTGCAGGAAAAAATAGCATCGAAACAACTGCTAGTAATATGTACAATGTATCCGTCTCTCTTACACTACACTGTTGTGATATCTTCCATCTCGCTCATGTAACGAATTTACTTACATATGACGCGACTTACCACCTCTTGTACACCAGGACGAGCTGGTGAAGCTGCAGCTGCTATCCCTAGCGGTGAAGCTATCCATAACGCAACCGGATACCGTGGCTATGTGCCGCTACGTGCTATCTCTGGCGCGGTATGACGCAAGCTATGACGTCAGAGATAGAGCGAGGTTGCTCCGTCGCTTTGTGGATCCTAGCCACGGCTCCCTGCTGCAGCAGTACGCGGCTGCCATCTTCTGTCCGGATAAACCTAAGCCCACTATTGAAAGCAGCTTTAAGGGTAACTTCCACTAATTTTATGTATTTTTGCTTTGTTTACTTGCATCTATTAATAACTAGCTGTCGCCCGCGATTTGGTCCATGCGGAATTAAAAAAAACTTATGAAATTGTCTATTTCTCTTTTAGTAAGATCCATACAGCCGTTCTGGAGATTCATCCATACATTTTCACTTATAACATTAGTAAGATTGATCGTTGACGATATGTTTTTCAGTATGTTTGTACAGTATAAAGTGACAACAATGTATATACAAACAGAGAGACAGCAGTACACTGTGGGCTCACTATCGCAGTACATCGGCAGTGCGGCCGCGGGGTACCGCCCCCTGCCCGCCGCACCCCGCACACCCCTCGCCGCGGAACTACGCGAGCCCGCACCACAACCTGCACCCGCACACGATGAACATGTAAGATGACTCTAAATATATACGATTAAGGTTCATTTTACAATGACTAGTACACAGCAGGCTGATTTGTACTCTATTGTTATACTTTTAAGGTTGCTTTTTCAGTTGTATACAATAAACAAATGTTATGGCAACTCTATGATAATAGAAATAAGGTTGATTTTGCAATGACTATTTCACAGCAGGCTGATTTCTACTCTATTTTTGTGTTGTTAAGGTTGATTTTTCAGTAGGATATGGTCAACATGTGCTGAGTTATGACAATAGGATTGATTAATACTTTATGGTGATAGGAATAAGGTTGATTTTACAATGGCTACTTTACAATAAGCTGAATTATACTCTATTGTTGTACTGTTAAGGTTGATTTTTCAGGATACAGTAAACATATATTTGGCAATAGAAATAAGATTGACTAGTACTCTATGATAATAGTAATAAGGTTTCTTTTTCAATGTCATAAAGCAAACAGGAATGAAGTACACGTAAAATAACCCTAAGTAAGAAGGTTGTCTTTGGTTTATGTTTTCTTTTTTTGTTTATTCAGCAGAAAAATAAGAAATTCTACTCAGAGCCAGAGAGCGATGGTTCAGGATTCTCATCATCTTCTGAATCTTCTAGCAGCACGGAAGATTCTTCTGATGAGTTAGTATAATTTTAATAGAACATACCGGTTTATCGTGGGTTTCTGAGATGAAAATTCTTGTTGAAAACATATTGTTACTTCTGTTTTATCGAAGATTTTTTTATGCAGAGAATTAAGTGTTAGAAACCAACAGTTAATTAGTTGTACGTACTAACGGTTGCACGCGACTCCGTCCGTGCGGAATTAAAAAAAATTGTAGCCTTCGTGTTCTTCCATCTGTGTTCTATATGTATGCCATATTTCATCCAAATCTGTTAAACTGTACAGAAGATACCTTCTAACATCCATCCATCCAAACAATTATAATATTAGTAAGATTTGAAATAATATAAATTTGTAGCTTTAATATGAATTATATAAAAAAATACTATTTAACCCGTTCAGTGCCATTGACTCAACTGACTAGTTAACTTTGATTTGATGATTTCATTGTGGCATGGAATGTGTTAAATAGTACGGAATAATGATTACAGCGAAGAAAGTAATCAAGAGGAGAAGAAACAAGAAAAACCAACTGAAACTAATAACTATAGGTAAATTTATTTTAATTTATTGTAAAAAATTGTTTTAATTTTTTTTTTTGGACTAAAGTAAATTAAAAAAAATAGTTAACTTAAGTATCCCTTTAATCTAGTCTTTCTTCTACCAGGTCTTCAAACTCTGGTACATCAGACAGCGAATCTGACAGTGAATCAGAAAGTTCCAGTGTCAAACAATCCGACAGTGTGTCTGAATCTGACGAGGAAACGAAGACCAAGTCTGCTGGAAAGGTGAACATAATTATCATCATCAGCTCTCTGTACATCAGTCAGTGATGAACAAGTGAACATGTTGATTGCATTGAATGCTGACAGATGGCGCTGACGTCGCGTAGTGCACTTGACTGCCGCAATGGCGCTAGTGTCGCCTTGATGGCTCATAATAATAATTATTATTATTTATTTAAACTAAAAACATATAAATATACTAGCTGTCGCCCGCGACTCCGTCCGCGTAGTAATAAAAACATAATTACTATGTGTTCTTCCAGACTATGTTCTATATGTATGACAAATTTTATCGAGATCCGTTCAGCTGTTCTGGAGATACATTCAAACATCCATCCATCCATCCATTTGCATTTATATTAGTAAGATGTTCGAGAATAAGGACACGTTCACACTTTTCAATATTTATTAGTAAATTTAATTATTAAAAAGTGATTTAAAAAACACCATTTTTTTTGTTTTTATCAAAGTTCTTTGTCTGTACTTTTAGGAATCAAAGGTAGAACCGTCACCACAGAAGACTAATGAGAAGTCGAACTTGGAGTTATTGCTGGAGCTGGACGAGGTGGCCAGCTCATTGCCCACCATGACGCCCACCTGTGGGGGATTCCTCTCCCCGCCCACTGCCACTGCACAGACTATAGGAGATGGTGAGATATTTATGAATTCATTTTACTATAACTATAAGCTAACAGTATCCCGCGACTCTGTTCGTGCTGTGTTCTTCCAGACTATTTTCCTATATGTTTGTCAAATTTTATAAAGATCCGTTGAACCGTTTAAGAGATATTTTTTAATAAACATCCATCCATACATTCAAACTTTGAGAAAACTTGCCTTTGTTTTAGATTATTTTTACTTAACCTATTAGGTAAGAAATTATTATTTTTTTAATTATTATATTATAATGGTTAATTGTTTTGGTGAAAGAAAATATCGTCTTTAAAAAAAAAACTGAAAATTTTGTGTTAAATTTTTTGCATGGAAAGTTTATTGTTTTTTAATTATTTTTTTCTAATTTTTTATAATTTTCTTTTCATAGAATTAAAAATATGCAAGTAACTTTTATTTTAGCTTACTAATCTTGGGTTGCCGAGATCAAAATCTCTTTAAATTTTATCGTCATCTGTCATTAACCTTAATATATATACCGATATGGCTGAAAATTGTTGAGGAGGTAGCTTAGAGCCAGGAGACAGACAAAGAATTTTTGCCTTTAAGAGCTGCTTTTAGATGGATGTGATGTGGATGGATGGATGGGTGGGCTACACTAATTAAGTTGTTTATATATCCGCGCGGACGGAGTCGCGGGCGACAGCTAGTGATATATATACAGATATTTTGCTCTCAGATACCAACAGTAAATACTTAGTACGTTATTTGAGTTGGCACGTGAAAACTAAGCGTGCTCATACAACTGATGTGCCAATTAACAGACGCCATAACTCCGGTGGGTCCGAGCGTGGTGCCGACCAGTAGTGCTGAGCTGTTATCTCGTGTGGTGTGCTCCGGGCTGGGGGCCAGGAGACGCTGGACTCGAGCTCCACATCTCTTCTCACACAAAATGTGTTCACTTGAAATTATATTTACAAATCATAATAATACTGAAGTAAATAATATCAGGATTAATAAAAAGGTAATGATTTTATATCTTATTTTCTAAGCGATAAGGATTAAATTTGTCTGACTCGAATGTAAACCAATATGTTATTAGTTTCATTTGATTTATAATTTGTAAATCCATGGCTCCTATGTAAAGTGTAGTAAGTTTAAAACACAAATTTTGTTTGATGACAAAACTTTTAATATTAATACGATAATTAAAACCAAAATCAATATTTTTTAAATCTATCTATCTACTCAGCAATGAGACGCCCACTGCTGGGCATAGTCCTCCCCCAAAGATTTTTTAAATGTTACTTTTAAATTGAAGCGCCAATAACTTAATATTTAAGGGTATAGATTACCGATTACTTGGTCGAGAGTTCGAATCCATTCAACTATTCTCGTAAACCATATCCTATCACAAGCCTTGAACTTAATTAGAATGAAAAAAAAATAGTAAAAAATTACTTATATTTTCATGAAAAAAAATATTAATTTAAAAAAAACATAAAATTGTGACTTACGTCACTTCACATAGGAGCCATCGGGAATTGTTTGTATACATTTGTTTCAGACTCTAACAGGTAGTAGAGCTATCCATGAGTTCGCGAGCATCACATCCCTGCCTCCTGGAGCATCAGCCACCACCACCCTGGGCGTGGACTTCGCAGACTCCATACAACCCATTGAGTTCACCATCATCAGCTCATTGGGTAAAAAGACCTTTTTCATATTTACACGAAATTAGAAACGTTAACACAAAGTATATTTGCTACAAAACGAAGCTGGGAACTTCAAAAATGTATAGAATAGAAAGTTGTCTTCGACAAATCACATGTTTTGGTGCTTCGGTGGCTCAGAGGTTATTTGTAATCTGCAGATCCTGGGTTCGAATCCCGTCGTGTAACAATGTGTTGATTTCCGATTTACATATGTACATTTATCCTATGTTCTTACGGTAAAGGAAAACATCTGAGAAGAAATTCAAAGATATGTGTGAATTCCCAGGAGAAAATATCAGGGAAGTAGGAGGGCTGTATTATTTGTTTTTTTTTTTTGTTTTCAACTAGCACACTCGTAACTTTGTGAAGAATTTGAAAATGTATTACCCTAGGCTCTCGGGAGTTATCCATCCATCTATACGTTCGTATTTATAATAGATGTGATGAATGATTCGTATTTATATAAGATGTATGTAAAAGGCGAGGTGCCGGTATCGATAACTCCGCCTGTGGGTGAGCTGGTGCGCGCCGTCACCATGACAACGGCGCGCTGGGACACAGAGCACAAGCGACTGCGCGGCATGACCGAGGTAACATAACATTTCCACTAAGTCTCCCGGAGACCTCATTTACTCCTCTTCCCCTTCCCAACCTCTTCTTATAAGGAAAGGATGGGAAGTGGAAGTGGACTTTCCGGATAAGAGGATGCACGGAAAGGGAAAATATTTCCTTTCTGTGCATCCTCTCCTCCGTCGATGAAAGGTAGGCAACGCATATGCAATTGCGTATGTCTATGGACAACTGTCACTTCGCTATTTAAGCGATTTCTATTTATATATATTTCTAATAAGCAAATAATCGCACCACTAACAGTCACCTTTACAAATAGTAACGGACGCAACGCACGAACGACACGCAACGGATTTTACTTTGTTTTATACACTAGCTGTCGCCCGCGACTCCGTCCGTGCGATATTAAAAACATAATTAGTAGCCTCTGTGTTCTTCCAGACTATGTTCTACATCTATGACAAATTTCAACAAGATTCGTTCAGCCGTACTTCATATACCTTCAAACCATTCCATACATCCAAACATTTGCATTTATAATATTAGTAAGATAGTCCTGCGTCCATCATCCGCGTCGTCCGCATCGAATGGCAAAGCAAATCCGTTTAATCCGTGCGTACGGTGCGTCCGATGCGTATGATAACTATTTGTTTTATTTATTTGATTGTATTATTTCAGTGTGACAAGAAAACGGTAAAGTTAAATGACGAAGCGGCCATTTGTAAACGCGTTTTCGAGACAGCTAATGTTGCTGCCATCACTTCTACTGGAGATTTGTTGAGGCAAGTACATTAAACACTATAGTAACACTTTTATATTTATTAAATCACTCTTTAATAACATAAACATAATTAACTTTTGTAATTTGCCATTAAACTTTATCAAATAATTTCTTATAAAATGAAAATAACCAGTGGGCTAAAGAATGAAGGATACAAAAACTTCTCGAGATATTTTACGTCTTTATTAACTTTATACAGCTTTTGTCCGCAACTCCGTCCGCGTGGAATTATAAATAAAACTTAATAAGTAACCTATGTGTTCTTCCAGATTATGTTCTACATATTTGCAAAATTTCATCTAGATCCAGTCAGTCGTTTTGGAGATATCTTTAAAAAAACATCCATCCATCTAAACATTCGCATTTATAATATTAGTAAGATTAAAATCGCGACAAAGATAATTTTCTAAGTCTATTATTTTTATCCATAGATTCGCAGGTCGTATGATGTCATCTCAAGAGCTGGTGCTGATCTCCGTGCGGCAGGAGGAGGAGGGCAGCCTGGTGACAGCAAACTGCGCCAACATGGCCATCGCTTCCTTACTCGCTAATGAAGTCGCTAATGCACTTAAATCTTTGTAAAAATTCACTTAATTTGTAAAATAAAGCCTCTTGTACACAAAACAACATAAATCGTCGAAACTAATGTTGTGTTGCGGGCACTTTAAATCAAAAGATATGTAATTGGCTGACAGCTTACAATTTGCCTAGGTAAATTACAAATAAGCGGCATTTACTATCGATAGGTGATTTGACCTTTGTATTTTAATCTCCCTTATCTACGTATATAAAATCAATTGGTGTTCGTTAGTCTCGCTAAAACTGGAGAACTGCTGAACGGAATTATCTTATCCTGGTCTTGAAATGTTCGTGGATACCTAGGGAAGGTTTAAAAGGTGAGAAAAAAAATTTAATTTGCCGGGAAACTAATTAAGATATTTTATCCACGCGGACGGAGTCGCGGGCGACAGTTAGTAATTGTTATAAAAGAAGAAATAACTTATTATCAATCCAGTCTGTACAGTCATAGTGACTACAAGTCAACTGTATATTTGCTCGGCCATCTTGCAAATTGCAACGACATTTTTTACGATGACCTTGAGAAACTGAGCGACTAGTATTGCCGATGATAGAAATGTCGGCGACAAGCTATGAATCTCTATGACTTTATATTACGTAAGTCGCTTAGTGACTAAAATCGCCGGTTTTCAAAGATTTTTCTTGCATTGTGTACGAAGGGCGAAGCGGGAAGAAATTTCATTAATTGCTTACTGAGTAAGACCCTAAGTGTTCGATTAAAGTAATGGGTTCGAAAATTGTTAGCGTAAGTAAAGCTTAGTCGGATTGATTATAAAAAATATTAAATTACATACAAATTATTTTCACTTTATAATTTTAAATTCATTATTAGGTATAAATAAGTTTACGATATACTCAAAATATTTTTATTCTATAAATAAAAATTTATCTTCCAATTTGATTTTACAAACTTTTATTTAGTTTAAAATCCAAATCTTTCGAATTAAAAAATCACATCCTGTTTACTAATTAGTATGACATGACAATGACAAAAGTATGACATGGTACTCTGATGATGGAGCTGGAAGGTCGTCATAGGAACTTCGCTATGAAAAGAAACCTGATCGAGTTTGAGCTCGTTTGAATCGTCTTTAACTTTCTATTTAGTTCTTTACGATAATTATAAAGAACATAATAAAAGCTAGTTTTTAATTTATTTTTCCATTTAATTCTTGTTACGTTTATAATACTAGTACCTGTTCGACTCAAAATTAAAAAAAAAACACTTAATTAGTAGCCTATGTGTATTCCAAATTTCAACTAAATCCATGCAGCCTTTCTAGTGATACCTTCAATCTAACATCCATCCATCTAAATCAGTGGTTTCCAAACTTATTTTGTCTGCTGCCCACTTTGAGAATAAATATTTTATAACTTCTAATTATACTCATTGTGACCTATATATGTATATTAACGGAGAATTGTAAAGGAAACTTTTACTATAACCCGCAACTTGAGACCTGCAGCGCCCACAAGGGGGCGTTATCGCACACTTTGGGAAAGACTGGTCTAAACTTTCCACGTAAAAAATAAAACACAGAAATATAGGATATATGTAATCTTATACATTTATTAAAAATAACGAGACGGAAAGTTTAAGTTATAATTACCTTAAAATCTATTTCTTAATACAAATAATATTAGTATATTTATAATATAGTGAAGGAAGACAGACAAACAATATGTCCTTTATTTCAATATAAATAAAACTTAGTTAAAATACAATGTCTTATTTCTTAATAATAATCCAAAATGGATTTACACGAGCAAACCTTTCATACAATTATAATACACAAAAATATACTCAAGAAACATGTTTATAGTATTAAAACGGAGACCACAACATGTTTAGACAATGCCAAAAAGTGACAAACATTCAAAACTAACATAGTCCAAAAAATGGATGTACAAGAAATTATGGAAAATCCAAATTTTATAATATTTATATTAATTTAGCTGGCAACACTAATAGGCACATTTTATTGCTTCATCATCAGCTCACTATATGTCTTCACTGAGGGTTTCAGAGCCTACACTATGTCAGACCAGGCCATTGTCAATCATAGCCCAGTGCGGGTTGACTTCACATATCTTTGAAATTTCTTCTCAGTTATGTACAGCATCACGATGTTTTCCTTCACCGTAACGATCGGATAAATGTACATATGTAAATAGAAAAACACATTGGTACTTGTCGGGATTTGAACCCAAGAGCCGCAGATTACAAGTCAAGTGATTTAACCACTGAGCCACCGACGCTCTTTATTATATTGCTTTAGAGATCCCAATTATCACCCAAACTTACATAATTATTCAATTATTTCTATCAATACTTAGAAAGTAAAAGTTTACAAAATACAACTTCCTAAGAAACTAATATTGAGTAATTTTAGCTCTGAACAATTAGGTAAATACCGAATTTATTGAGTATTTAATTATTTTCTTTTTCTATAATAAACAGGCAAACGGCCACTTAAATTCGCCAAAACAGCGAAGTAACGATTGCCCATATACATCTGATTTGTTAATACACAGACAAGTTTCCCTTCCTATAGGTCCCTTCTTCTGCCAAATCCAACCTCTCTTCCCATCACTTAATTATAAGATTAGGGTTGAGAGGTGAAGAGGACAAAATTTAAGCTGCCGGCACACAATTATCAGACAAAGCACAGGATTGCTTCTAATGAATTTTTCTCAAATATTACAAACTGAACTCAGCGCAATAATTGTACAAATTTCTATATTCCTGCCTACCTTGTAACACCTAATGTTGTGGATAGTGTCCCCATCCAGGAGCCATACCAAAACTGTATGTGGGGTTATTCATCACAATCCTCGGCCGCTTACTCGGATCATCATGTTGCATTTGTGGCTGCATCATTTGAGGATGTGGCATCACTGGAGGCATAGTTTCCACCACCACTTTATCCTTCTTCTGTCTCTTTTTAGGACCATTGTTACAAGATTCAGGCGCTATACGACGTTCATTCCATAATCTATCGAGTAACATAGTACGAGCTTGCACTCCGATTGGATCTTCAACACGTTTTCTCGATATTGGTGTGTTCGCAACTTTCTGTTTCATCGCTTCTAGTCTTTCTTCAGCTGGTGTCATCGGGACAACTGGAAGACCTCTTCTATTTGCAATATTATGGAGAACACAACAAGCTACAATCAACTTTGTGACAGTTTGTGGGTCAAATTGTTTGTTACATGTTGCTTGAAGACATTTCCATCTTGATTTTAAATGTTTTATTGTGTCTGTAACAACTTGTTGTGTCTGACTGTGCATGTTTGTGTAATACTTCTCCGGAGATACGGGGGATTTTTTTGTTATCTTGGGGATCGGTGTCATAAGATATGGCTTCTGAGAGTAATGAGCACTACCTGTAAATATAACGTTCAAACATTTAAACTAACAGAATCAATTATAAATCATATTCTACAATAAAACAAAATTAATAAAATATCGGTTAAAAAAATATTAAAAAATAGCTATCGCCCGCAACACCCGCAAGAAGATAAAACAAAACATAGTCTATGCATTCTTCCAAATCTACATCTATGCCAAATTTCAGCGAGATCCATGTATCCTGGAGATGCAAACATCCATCCATCCAAACATTCACATTTATAATATTAAAAAATATTTACCAACAAGCCAGCACTGTTCTCCGGAGTTATTCAAGCTCTCCAGATCTATCCTGACGGCATGTTGGTTTAAGATGGCATCATGTGAATATGACCCACCAAGTTTACCTTCTACACTTATAATGTTTAAATCACTATCACAGATCTGCAAAAGAAAAATAATATTAGTCTTTTATATATAAACTAGCTCCATCCGCAAGGAAATATATGTGTTTTTCCAGACTTTATGTCAAATTTCATTGACATCCATTGATCTATTCCAGAGATACCTTCTAACAAACATCCATGCATCTAGACATTCACATTTATTATATTAGTAAGATAAAGGGCTATATTTTTTTCTAAACTTGTACTTACAATCTGAACTTTCTTGGAATGGAATGATTTATTGAAATGCCTCTTATGGTCTTCCTCGGGGCGGGAGATGGGTACATGTGTACAGTCTATGCACCCAACCACATTTGGCATGCCATACTTCATGTAGAAACTAGAATAAACATAAAACTATGCTCTTAAATGTAAGCTTAACAAGTAATATATATTATGTCCGCCTCCAGGCTCTAATCTACCTCCTCACCAATTTTCAACCATATTGGTAAAGCCATTCTTCAGTTATAAATAGTGTAACTAACACATCTTTTTTTTTATATATATATAAAATAACAAAAATCTGTTAATAATTTACTAAAAAAATAATAATCAGCTTTTGATGAGTAATATAAAAGTTAAAAAAGATTAAACCAATTAAAGCTTTTAACAAATAGGAATAACTGTGATTTAAAATATACAACTGTCATTACCTGGTCTTGATAATATCTCTCTCATTCCTTAAATGTGGGAAATGTATGTATTTCTTTACAATGGATGGATGGTTCATAGCCTCGGTGACTTGCATTACTGCTGTAGACACAAAGTACTGTGTGATACTGGGGTCCGTCTTCCCAGCTAGTGACTTCTGGTACTTCCCTGATGCAAAGAATGTTAGAGCTGCCATAACCTGATGATCGGAGATTAAAAAAATAACAATGTCACTTTTCATTTTTTTACCTATTTTTAAGACTTCATGAGACAATGCAACAGTAAAAAATGTTAAAATTCAATATCTAAATTTATAAAGTAAATAATTTTTTTTTAACTCAAATTTCAAAAATAAATTAAATTTCGCTTCTTATTTATTATATTATTTTTATCTATTTGTGTAGTTAACTTTTGTTTAATTAATTTAGTAACTCTGTAATTTTCGCCTTTTGAATCGTTAAATCTATATCATTTTATTTCAATATAGATATATTATATTATATTCCTAAAAACTTTTGAAATAAACAGAGCGTAAGTATACATACTTTACATTCAACAGAAAACTCAATAGATTTCGTGGAGTCCGGCATAACGGGTTTTAACTCCTCACAAAGTCCGCGCGCCAAATCTTTAGAGAGACGATAAGTTTCAATAAACGCGGGATCACTCAAATCAAACGGATCGACATCCTCTTTTGCCTTGGAAAGTTTTTTCTCTGGAGTTTTTGCTTTTTCCAAAGTGTTTGTCTCATGTTGTTTGTGTGTTTGCGACGAATCCCACTTCAGCAGTTCAAATATTTCCGGTTCATCATCAACTACTGATATGTATCCTTCTTCTGGCGGCTTATCAGCCATTTTTCGTTAAGTTTTTAAAGTTTTATTTATAAATTTAATTTTATTCTTTATTGAAACAAACGCAGCTTGGGCTTGGGTTGACAAAATTTGACATTTCTCTCAGTGTTGCAATTACAAGACAAACTCGCAACTCAAACATTCAAAATTGTTTTGAGAAAAAATCTATGCAATTTAAAGTTAACATACCTGTTGAAAATGTCTAATTACGATAACAAAAATTAAGAAAGATAAAGAATCAATGTATACCTCCCGAAAATCTCAAGTTAACCTTTTAGTCAACTTTTTTTCTGCTGGCAATAGTGCGGTCAAGAATAGAAAAGTTTTCTTTTTTAAAACTTCGGCTAGGTATAATAAGGTACTCCACCAGTCGGCTAGGCATCCAGAACTTATATTCGTTTCAGATTCTAAACCACGCATTTGAAACAAGGGTATGTATGCGTTTAGTGGTATTGCGCGTACCTTGTGATATTATTTATTTGTAAAAAACTGAGCCCCTTTGCAAACACCTTTCCTTACCGGAAGTCGTTAATGATCTCACTAGTATCGCCAGGAGTCAAATCCAAAATATATTAGTAAAAAAACTACTCACTGAATTTTCCTTTTTCACATTAATTTGAAAATAATGGTGTTCTTCGATTTTATTCCGCCCTAGACTAGTCGGTCGATGACACGAAAACATATTTCTACTGTAGTAGAGCCCGCAACAATATCTGTTAAAGGAATGGCCGGCTACCCCAGTCGACCGGTGAAGTACCGCGATCACATAAAAACACACGTAAAATGGTTTCGCGTTGAGTGTGTGTGCCGGAGGTCTAATTTTACGTTTCAGCCCCTTATCCATTCCCATCCTCTTCTTTTAATGAAGTGACGGGAAGAGGTGGTGGGTTTGGCAGAGAAAGGCACACATAAGAAGGGGAAATATTCTCTTTATGTGCGTACTCTCCTCTATCGATAAAAGGTAGGCAACGCTTCTGTAAATGCGGATGTCTAAGGGTCACTTCGCTAAATTCGGGAATACAAGTGGCCACTTACTCGTTTCCCACATTTTGTTAAAAAAAAACTTTCGTCAGTCCTGACGCAATAGTTAGCCTTGAAAAAGTATTCACAAATTTTTGTTTGCAATAAAATAAATGGACAGTTACTTCACAAGTGACAATATGGCTACCCTAAAAAATGAGTCAACAAACAAACATCCAAATATCTACATATTATATTATTATTTTAGTTTGACACGACGCGTGGTAGTGATAACACGTATGTACTCAATATGTAGTTAATTTTTACGTGAACAAAATCGTGCTGTGCTGTTTACTTTTTCACTTAACGGATAAATACATACGTAAAAAGGAATAACGTTCAGGTTTGGTTTAATTTATAAATAGATTGAGTCAGTGTTGTAAAATGGCCTGCAATTTACTAAATGGGAGCATAGGAGTGTAGGATGGGACGATGGAAACTTGTTAATAATATTAATTAAAACTAATTTGAATAATGTTTTCGTTAACTTACAGCCTGACGGTTTAATTAATAAAAAAGTTAAATAATAGAATTTACATTTTGTTTTTTTTTATAATATTATTTTAGTATTATTATTAAAATACTAGTATCTAGTGTCCGGTCCAAGTTAATTCTGCGATTACATGACAATAATACAAACTATAGTTTTTTTAATACTAAAAAATATATTAAGATTGACATTTTGCGTGGATTAAATCCGATAAATAGTTCTTAATATTATAATGTACCAACTAAAAGTTCAGCTTTATTGTACAACAAGATAACACACACCCGTAACCTAGACGGGTAGGCAGAGACCACAGACCTCCATTTGGCACGGCCCTGACACACCTCCCTCGCTTTTAATGTTCATATTACTAATACTACAAAAGCTAATATTATATTAGTCTTACCTCTTACTAATATTATAAATACGAATGTTTAAATAAATAGATGGATAGTTTAGATGTTTGTTTGAAGGTATCTCCAGAACGGCTGAACGGATCATAACACATAGGCTACTATACTGATTAGGTTTGATATAATTTCGCGTAGACGGAGTCACGGGCGACAGCTATTATATAAAACATAATATACATGGATATTATATAGAATGTATTACTAATATATAAAATTGGTTTTATCTAAATGGCAAAAAATATTGACTCCAATTTATATGTCGACAAGTTTGTCTTCAAGGCCTCTGCATCCTGCATGGTCGCACGTTGTACGAAGTGCAATCAACCTACAATACATTCACTGCATCCTTGCAAGGCTCAATTACAATCTGATTGATTTCAATAGTAGCTACAATGCGTTACAAATGAAATTGTTTACTTATGAACCCGACGTTGACACGTCGTCGCGTAGCTACGTAACTATCGGGAGAAAAATCTTACTAATATTATAAATGCGAAACTTTAGACACTACTAATGTATGTACAATCGAGGAATCTGGCGGTATTACAGTTTAAGTCGTTCACTTCATACACAACGAAATCGCGAATTAATAATCAATTAATGCAGCTTTACAAAATTATCCCGTCGTTTTCGTAACTAACGGCTATCTACTTGGTTATGTGTAGCATGGTTTTATTGATTTTCGGGAATTTTTCAATGTGGAACACCGCGGATTTGCCCAACTGTAAATTTTTTGCTTAATTTTAATTTTGTAGATAATATGTCTGCTGTTATTTTAGCTATTTTTAGATAAGGATTGTTATTTACATTGTATTGTTTTTCTCACAAATTAATATCTACAAATAGCTTTATATTTCTCTTTTCCAGTATATATTATTCGACACCTTTCCGAAGCTATGATATAAAATATCATAATGAATTAAAATGGACAGTAAAAATCTAGATGTGTCGACTGAAAATGAACACACAACAAACGCTTCAAGCGATTTGAATAAAATAAATTCATTAAAATCAGAAAATAAAAGAGAAATAGTTGCACATTACACAAAAGACGAGGAATCAGTGATGGTCGATAGAGTTACATTTGAAGGATTAGAAGATGATAGCATTTGTTCTGATGATATAAATAATAAGAAATTACCACAAATACCGGACGGTGGTTGGGGATGGGTGGTCGTAGTTGCTGCATTCTTAATCTCAGCCTGTGCTGACGGTCTGGCATTCTCCTTCGGTCTTCTCCACGAGGAATTTACTTCATACTTTGAAACTACACAATCGAAAACATCTTTAATAGGAAGCTTGTTTATAGCGACTCCCTTGCTTGCTGGACCGATTATGAGTGCGTTGGTAGATAGATATGGTTGTCGGACTATGACAATGATTGCTGGCTTACTTTCGACTATTGGATTCTTGTTAGCATCAGTTAGTAATTCCGTGGAAATGTTATGCTTGACGTTTGGGTTTCTGAGCGGTCTAGCAATGGGTATTTTATACGTAACTGCTGTTGTGGCCGTCGCATTTTGGTTTGATAAGAGAAGAAATCTAGCCGTTTCTCTCGCTTCTTGTGGGATCGGTTTCGGAACTTTAGTTTATTCTCCCTTAACACATTATTTACTGGAAGCTTATGATTGGAGGAATACTGTTGTTCTTCTAGCTGGTACTTTATTGAACATGTGTGTGTGTGGTGCGTTAATGAGAGATCCTGAATGGTTAACGATTAAGCAGGAAAGAGAAAGAAGACTGTCTAAGCCTAAGTCTGGTAGGTCGTCTAGTATCGGGTCTATGTCATCTAGATCTATAGGAGGTGAATCATTGTTTTTAACTCCTGAGGAATTGAAAGCGTTGTTGAAAAGTGGACAGAGTCCTGATTATATTTTAGCCACGCTCACTACAAGTATTGCGGAAGCACAGAAATTAGAAGAAACGACACAATTCAATGCTGAACAGTCTTATAAAAGAATACATTCTGATATACATCTACCAACTTTTATAGCGCAAAATGAAAAGGTACGTTTAAATTTAGGGAACGTACCCATACTACATGACCCGTTTAGGAGGGGAGGGGGAGTCTTTAAAACACTACGGTCAGTGACAGGAGCTGGGGATGCCTCAGGTTTTTGTCACGTAGTCGTTTGTTGTTCTTTTTCATAATATATAATTCATTAGTAATTTTAGTATGCATGCAGACTTATGCAATAAAGACGAGTATGAGGCAAATTATTTTTTTTTCGATTACCGCCTGTGAAATGATTGAAAATCAAAAATGAATTACTACGTAAAACTAAAAGGGGAGAGGGGTTTTGGCATATACTACGAATGGTCACCGAGGGGTGGAAGGGTTGAAAAAATTAAAAAAATAGGTAACGTAATATGGGTACGTTCCCTTATATATAAAATTCTCGTGTCACAATTTTCGTTCACATACTCCTCCGAAACGGCTTGAATGATTCTCATGAAATTTTGTGAGCATATTGAGTAGGTCTGAGAATCGGCCAACATCTATTTTTAATCCCGCGCAGACGGAGTCGCAGGCGACAGCTAGTTATATATATATATCTTAAAAAATGCATGCATGCAATTTGTAGCACTGTCATTTATTTCAATTTTTGATTGTAGGTCCCAGTAGAAGTAATAGAAAAATTAATGAGTAATAAAAGATTATATAACATAATACTACAAAACTATCCAGATTTAATTACAAGACGACGTTCTGAAGAGAATCTTAACATCGAAGTATCGGAGCTTGTTAAAAATGAACCGGCACAACTGCCAGTTTCTGTCACAATAAAAATGCCCAATAAAAACGAACTAGAAACAAATAAAGATGAGAAAAACAAAGAACGTAAAGAAAAGTGGAAGAATCAAAAAAGTATAGACAAAGATGTAAATATAGAGAATAGTGTTGATAAGAAAATCAAACCCAAATTACCAGTACAACAAACAAATTGGCTGACGAGACAAATTTCTATGGACCACCATTACTTAAGGGATATGCCTTTATACAGGAATACTATAATGCATAGAGGAGCTATGATGAACATTCCTAGATACAAGCTAAGAGCCTCGTCTCTGCCAGATATTTACAGGAATTCCATGTGGTCACTTGGCTCAGAATCAGACGATGGAATGGTAAGAACTTTCCTACTTCTAATTAACTCACTATAAAGTACAATTTGCTATCAAAACAATTATTTTATTTTATAGTGTTAGGAAGAATCCGACACAGTGTTGGTGTACTGGCGCAACACTAGCCTTAATATAATGTTGACGTTTATGTCCCCTCACTAATCATTCTGACACTTGCCTTTATAACGAAAGCACGTCATTCGCGCCAAAGGATTCTAACCAATAATGTCTAAAAATATAATAGATAACTATTTTAATATCTATATTTATTCAGAAGAATAGCTAAAATATAGTTCTATCAGATAAATTTTGATATGAACGATAATTCCGATTGAATTTATTTAAATCAAACATAATTTCTAGCAATTATGTTGTCCATAAAAAAAGAAAAAACATTATTGCCACACATAGAACAAAACATATCTCTCTCTCTCACACACACACACACAAAGGACAAATTTGATATTGTGTGGCAAAATGAAGCCAGCTAAGCGAACACCCTGTTGTCTCTTATATTTCAAAGCGAAAGACAGAGACGAAAATATATTTTTAAACAAGTATTTTGATAGGTAAGTATCCTAAAGGAAACTTTTGTGATTTCATTACAGAAATGGTATCAAAGACTTTGGCAGACAACGAAATCGACTTTCGACTTTAGAATGTTCACGGAGTTCCATTTCTTAATGTTTAACTTATCTTCTCTGATCCTCTCCGTGTGGTTCATAGTCCCTTACTTCTTTCTAAAGTCTTACATGACTTCTAGAAGTATGGCAGGTGGAGCTGAAATGATCAGTATCATTGGTATTGCAAGCAGCATTGGAATTGTAAGTATTTTTAATTTTATATAGCTTAATAGTATTCTTGTTTGAAATCTTGGTAAGTTGCACTGATGCCTGTGACTCAGTTTGCGCGGAATTAAAAAAAATAATTAGTAGTCTATGTCTGTCAGACTATATTGTACATGTATGCCAAATTTCATTAAGATTCGATTAGCCGTTCTTGAGATGTCTACAAACCAACATCCATCCATCTAAACACTCGTATTTATAATATAAGTAAATTGATAGATAGGTCCATTACTTGGAAATTACAGCTTTTACTTTGTTACGAATTAAACGCGTCTGTTAATATTATTGAAATGTTATCTATATTATTAGTTTGAATTTCTCTATAAAACTGTCAGCGACGAAATGGCGACAATCAAATAGGCACAAAATACCGTGTCCTATAACCTGTCAATTTATAGTGTGGTCAGTATTCTGATCTATGTATTGGAAATACTCTATGCAATTTCCTCTACACTTTATGGTAGGTTTATCTCGCACTATGATTCAGAATTCTCTCGAGAATCTTATCGTATATTTACTTAACACAATTATCTATATATATAAAAGAAAGTAGTGTTAGTTACACTATTTATAACTCGAGAACGACTTTACCGATATGGTTGAAAATTTGTGAGGAGGTAGCTTAGAGCCAGGAGACGGACATAGGATACTATTTAATTATTTTTTTTCGAATTTATGCCTTTAAGAGCTGCTTTTTATTTAACTTATCTGTATATTAAGTTTTTTTTATATATTCAAGCAGACGGAGTTGCGGGCGACAGCTAGTTATTGATGAAGTAGACTTGCTCGTTAATCTTTGTTATCTTTGCACTAGTTAATTGTTGTCGAAATACAATTTTACGGAGTATTCGAAAAAAAAAATAACATACTTGATAACCGCGAGTGTTTTCAGGTTGCTCTAGGCTGGGCAGGAGACCAACCTTGGATAAATGTCACCAAGACTTACGCCGTGTGTCTCATCATATGCGGCCTTTCCGTCAGTCTCTATCCCCTCTTCATCACCAACTACTGGGGCCTGGCCATCATCTCCGCGGTCTTTGGTCTATCCTTCGCTAGTTCCTACTCCTATACTCCTGCTATTCTAATGGAATTAATGCCTATAGACCACTTCACGGTTGCATATGGTCTGATACTTCTCAGTCAGGGGATCGGGCATTTAGTTGGACCTCCTATTGGTGGTACGTATTATTATCACTTCTAGCTGTCGCCCGCGACTTAACCTGCACGGAATTATTAAAAACCTTAATAGGTATGTGTTCTTCAAGATTATGTTCTATATCCGTGCCAAATTTCATCAAATTCCGTTGAACCGTTCCGGAGATTTTCGTGTGACCTTTTAACAAACAAACATCCATCCATCTAAACTTTCATCATCAGCTCACTATACGTCCCCACTGAGGGGCTCGGAGCCTATCCTAAGTTAAGGGTGATTAGGCCATAGTCAACGCTGGCCAAGTGCGGGTTGACTTCACACATATCTTTGAATTTATTCTCAGATATGTGCAGGTTGCATCACGATGTTTTCCTTCACCGTAAGAACGTCGGACAAATGTACATATGCAAAGCAGAAATCGAAAAACACATTGGTACATGGCGGGATTCGAACCCAGGACCTGCAGATTGCAAGTCAAGTGCTTGACCACTGAGCCACCGACGCTCTTAACGACGCTAAACTTTCGCATTTATAATATTAGTAAGATTTAGTACATAATAGTATAGTAGTATTAAACCTGTTACACACATTTAGTTATGACTGATCAGTGCGATTGAACTGAAGGTGTGTAGCCAGCTTTAGTAAGGACTATCGAAAGTCAGAGAGTGTCAAATTTTTATATATTTATTCATCTTTTATATATCATACAAACAAACTATCACGTTTATTTCAATATCAACAAAATAATCTTACATAACGAGTGTTATCATCTTAATAATTTTTTATGTTTGTCGTTATCAAATATAATATTCGATGAGAAGTTTTACGTACTCGTCATCCACACTAACCTTTGCAGTAACATCTCAAAGCAAACGTAGTATTTTGTACTTTTTAAATATTTGTTTTTAACTAATCCTTTCCATCTTTTAAGTTTCACAAGTATTCATCTGGAAATTAATATAATAGATTTTCAGTAAAATTAGCGTTTGCCCGCGACCGTCATCTCTACTAATAAGTAGTCTGTACTCGCGTGGATCAGCCACCTAACCTTCAAAGTCCCATTAAAATCAGTCCAACCGTCCTGGAGATCACCCGAAACAAAAGTGAACTTGCGAACAGACAGTTAGAAATATAAAAAGTCGTTTTTTCGTTATAAACAACGCAAATACATCATGTTCTTAATTTTTTTATATTTCATACTATTTTCTAGGTATGCTGTACGATTTGACAGGCAGTTGGGACCTGACATTTTACACGGGTGGTATCTGGCTTGTCATATCTGGTCTATGTGTGGGTGTCATACCGTACACGAAGGATTTACGCATGTGTGGCACTGCTCCGCTCTTCAAGGAAGCCGAGGAAGCGAGAAAGGAAGACGTTGATGTCTGAATTTATTATGAAAATAATATACAGTAATTGTTATTAAAATGTATTGTTTTATTTTTCTCAAGATTTGTGACGTCATAGTCATGGGAGGCTAACGATGTTATTTTTCAAACTTTGAATCTTTTTAGTTTGCTTAAAATTGCTTATGCAACTAGTAGATTTTAGGACAGACAGGTTACCGTTATAAAGCAAATATTGATTTGTCGTCGTCACAATAACTGATAGGAAATGCAAACAAGACGCGCCGCCACTTTATGTAATGACACATAAATAAAATTTGATTAATTTTGCGATGTTTTTGACATTGGCATTTAAAAGAAAGTTTTTAATATTTCTGTTATAAAACAAATTGATCATTTCATACTAATGTATCTAATGTTACATAAATAAATTATCATTAATTTAAATATTCGCAAACTTTAAATAAGGTTATGTGTCAAATCACTTGACAGATAACTTTTTTTTGCAGAAAATGACAAAGGTGAAAAGGAATGTAAATAAAACTAATATTGTTATCCAATGACAACTTTATTAAATAGAGAACAACAACGGGTTGGGTGAAGAAAGTTTTACGAATTGAGTCCAGATAGAATGTATACATAATTAAACCAATACATAACTTTTAAATGACACAAATAGTCTAATAAAAAATAGTTTAGTAATTAAAACAATTATTGATATGTTCTTTTACTTAAACAACACATTTTACTTAATGTTAATAATTATTTTAAAAAAAACTCTGGACTCAAGTGCATTGGAAAAGGATGGTAACATCGAAAACACATGGTAACATTAAAGTTGATGGATTAACATATATTGATATGATATTATAGAAAAAATAACATTTTTTTCTTTAATATAATTCTGAGAAGCACCTAAATTTAATTTATACCACGCGCAATGTAGATGGGATGGCACTTGTACAAGTTAAACCAAAATGATTTCGTTTCGTTATAAATCTTTTGTTTATATTTCGATTTCAATTAATAATATAAATTTACTTTTCTTCTTTGCTGACTTATGGACTGACTATCGCGGTAAGTTTGAGGTCCAAAAAATTGCATCCCATTTCAAATCGCGCGCAATTAATTTACAGTATGGATTTAAAATCATAGATTAAGGTCAATAATTGTACTATAATTGTCTCTAAAATTTAAATACATAACAGTATTGAGCTTTGTAAAGGTATATAATGTTCAACGAGAAATATATTTCTTGAGCTTTGTACAATATCTAAAAATGAGCATAGAGGTAGTTGAAAAGACAAGCGTATGCGATATTTTACGTAATTTTATGTGCTACAAATCTTATTCAATATTCATAAGAGTTTTACAAAGAAGCGTAATTCTTTAATTCTAAAAAAAAAAAACAATTAATTATAGTATACGCCACGAATCTTTAACGTTCTGAAGTTGGCAACGAGTAAATCATGACAAGTGGGCAAAAGTGAAATGTATTTCCGTCTCTATCGTTTCATGTACTCGGGTATGGTCGTCTCACTCACTCTATGAATTGACAGTTCAAAACTGATTTCAGATGTAATTCGTGGCGCACAACGTAAATTATCAACTATGCCCGCTCTGAAACGTTAAAATCTGATAAAACTATAGAAAATCAATTTAATAAATGGTAATTCTGCACATTTTATAAATCTATTTCATCCATTTAATACTAACGCAATATTAACGCGGACTATACTATAAAAATAATTAAAAGAATCTTATTAACAAGTAATTAGTAATGTTAAAATTACTCATGTACGATAGTTTTTGATAAAATCAACGTATAATAGAAATAGAGACGGGCATAATTTTTGAAATTTAAATCATGTTTTACTTCAAACATTTTAAACAAGAAGGTAAAGGGAAGACGATTTTCAACAAATATAAGGACTTATATAAATTTTTCACTAACACTAAAAAGATATTTAACAATAGAGACAGCCTTTTAAAGTGTCGATATCAAAAAATTGTGCACAATCGCATAGGTTAGGAAATATTTTGGAAATACATTTTTTTTTTAGATTTTCTATTAATCTTTATTCGAAACAACCATCGCCACATATCAAATATAACAGATATTATAATAACCATAAGAATGTTTTTATTGTGATTTTAAAAGCCGACACAACCACGCCACTGTGAAGTTAACACGCGTATGATATAAGCTGTTCCAAATGAAAACCTAAAGTTTGTAAACATAGAATAACTATAGTTCTTTTCAAATATCTTTGCAGCTCAAGGTCACTTATTCGCTGCGCAGTGCCCCCTCCCCCTTCATCCCGCTACTCCCTAACGCACCTAACATCGTATTTTGTGAAGCAACTCGCAAGAAGTTAACAGCCGTCAAGATATCTGATAATTGCTTTTCTACTATTTTATATTAAACCAAAATTTTATAATTTAGACACCAAATTTAAATAACTCGCGATACTTTTTTTTTTAATTTAGGAATTAAACAATTTTAATTGCAAAGGTTTTCATTAGGAAAAGCATATATGTACACTTTTCTACGATATGGGTGATAGTTTTTTCTCCTTTAAACTAAATAAATTAGGATATAAGGGAAACATTTTTATTAATATTATTTAAGTATTTTAAAATAAAAGTTTTGTAATGCCTAATCTTTTGCAACATCACCCATATCGTGTGAAGAGTTTCTCATACTTTTAATTGTCTCTGGTCTAAAATTTATACGCGCCAAATCCTATCAACAGGTTATAAGCTCAGACTTCATTTAGACCAGCGACAATCGCATATATTTTGAGACAAAACATGTGTCAGGCCTTAATAAACGATTAAATTTTAACACTAACATTAAATGACATAGAAAAGGGTGTAGAAAAGACTTACAGATAACTTTTTCTCACTTGAAATCACGTTAGGTTACATCAGACATTCATTGACACGAATTTATTAGTAAAGAGTTTACATTAATTTAAAATAGACATCTCTAAAAAAAAGAACTTTAAAATAAGACATGTGTATCGAAATAAAATTAATTATAAAAAATATTCGATAGTTTTCAAGTATCAAAAATCAAATAATTTAGAGTAATTAATTAAAAAAAATCATAACATAACCTTAAAAATCAAAAAACAATGACAGAATAAAATACAGATCTAGAAATCTTTGGTAGCATATCATTTTTAACAGTCATTCTGATATGTTAACAAATCTATGTCAATAAATAATTGACAGATATTAAAACTGACCTCTATAAATAGACTGGCTATAAGACGTAGTATTTTGTGCCTATTTGATTTTCGCCATTTTGACGCTGATGGTAGCGGTTCGTAGCGGTGGTGTGGATAGGAACTAATAAAGTTAGTAATAACTGTCACGTAACATCAACAGCCGCGTTAATCGGAACGAAACAAAAGCTATCGTGTTACAAGCAATCGCACATCCATTTATAGAGATCATTGGATAGTAATACTTGGAAAATCATGTTTCAGAAATACTTATACTACTTTTTTTAATTAATAAGAAGATTTTCTCTATTATTATATATTATTGTATTTTAAATATAATATGGATTTTGGCATTGATAGAAACTTTATTTTTACGCAGATTTTAAAACGTTAAGATATTTTATTAATTTTGGTTATTTCTGTCAACCGTTCCGTGTTACGGGTGCGACATTTAATTTCATTTATTTACTCAGAAAATCATACTTAGTTAGATATTAATAACGTGTTAAGATTAATTTAAACAATATAATATATAATTTTTTTAACTTTTCAATTGTAAATATATAAATTATTTTTATATTTAATTTTATTTCTAATTATTAACAGAATCAAAATTGAAAAAAGATGTTTCTCATATTAAGCTAATATTACTTCACTGTATAGTCAAATAATTGGGTATTTTCTTACAAGTAGCCATGTAAGAATTTTTTTGTCTTTAGACATTTACGTGAATAATAAATGTCACCTAAACCTAAAGGGTTTGATGTAAATTTCAGCGATATTGAAATATGCATAAAGTAGAAGAAAATATCTTTCTAAGATTTAAAACAAGTGAAAAATATAGCTTATATTATAATGTTCAACAATAATATTAACATCGAATGCATAATATGTAGTATATATGATATTTAGAGATCTAACACATTCAATGCTAACACTGCGATAGTCTCATACGATCGTGTTAAGACGCTGACGTATGAAACTATATCGCGGTATTGGGGCATGTCGCTAAAGATCGATGGTGTAGCAAATACGGTATAAATTCCTTAAAACCGTTACAAAGGCGTCGGCGATGAGGTCCTAGCACTGACTATATTCCACTGGACAGGCTTATAAACAGTAATATTCTGTGCCTTTTCGATTTACGCCATTTCGGTAGTGGTTGGTTGAGATGTTGTAAGTTCGAAATAATAACTATCAACTAAAAACAGTGCTTTTAAATCAAAACGAAGCAAAAGTTGTTATTTCAAAATAGCAAACTGTCCAGCGGATGTGCAAATCGTGCAGTATAAGTCTTTGCAAATATATTGGCGGCTCAAGGTCATCTGCGCATTCCCCTTCTCCCCGCATCCCGTTACTTGATAATATTCATCAGCCAGAGTTGTACGTTGTTCTGAACTGCCAAAATATTTGAAAACTTCAATAGGGTTCCTGTTTACCGCTCTGGGCGCAGCGGCGCTAGTGCGGCGAGGGAGGCGCGGCGGCGGCGCTGTGCGGCGGGCGAGGCAGTCTCGGTGGGCGCGCCGGCCAGCCCGCCCGCGGAGCCACGCGCCGCTCGCGGTTCAAGTTCCAGGGAAAGTGTGTACTGACGCTCCTCCGGGATGATAAGAGAGCGGTCCAGTAAGAAGTCGCAAACCTGACATATCACATTATGTAGTTCAGAATATGTAATCTATACGGAGATGACAGTGGTGAAACGCATTTGACGAAATTCGTTCAAACATTCAACTCTTTCGTTTCGCTGTTACAGGGCCATTTTTAGTATTTCCGATTTTTAGGGAAATCTTCCAAAGATATCTTAGGGGGCGCCATTTTATAACCGACTGGCGCCCCCTCTTGCCCGGCGCTTTGGGCGATCACTCCACCTGTTACTACCCTAACGTCTGTACTGGGTAGCTATATAGTTAATGTTTTATGAGGCAAATAAATCGCATAAAATATGGCAACTTTGCCCACTACTGTATTTTGCTACTGTTTAATTTCACAATATTTCCATCCCATAGTGAACAAAAATTACCTACCTTAGGAATGTGGTCGATCTTGTAAGGAGTCTGTTGGAAGTTTCTTATTTCTCGAATCACATGGGCTATCTATAATAGAAAAAAATAATATATAATCATACTTGTAGTATAATTTAGTTAAATTTAAAAAAAAACTCACCATTCTCATTTTTGAGAAATTAAGAAGACCATCAGGAGTGTAGTTAGAAGTGCCCTCTTCTATGAACGATAGGTCAGACAGGTACATGCCCAAATAAGGAATGCAGGGCGGGTCGCATCTAAAACAAAATGTCCATGAAAGAACTAGAAGCAGCTGGAAATGGGTTACTTAAATGAAAGTAATTTATCTCACCTGTGCAGAGCGTCCCTTAGAATCCTGAATCTGCATTCTGATGATATTATAGTTTGCATTTTTTCAATTGTTTGTTTGCTCTGAAAAATTTTAACATCACAAAATCGTTTTATCATACTAAAAACACGACTCACAACATTCACTTAGGACAGAGATTCCCAAACTTTCTCGGAGACAGCACATTTCTTATGTAACCTGTGAACTTTATTACCCGCTGTCCTACTTACATCCCGGATGGATCCCCATAGCGTCCACCGTAATCACTTTGAGAATCACTACCCACTAACCTTGACTCACTGATTAACCTGGCATGTTTAAATCGCCATCATTCCTTACCGTCTTGGAGACTTTTTCCCAGGTCTTCTTGAGGCGGAATATGGATGTGTTGGAGAGCGCTGCACAGATCTGCAGTACGCCGTTAAAGTTGTGAAGACAACGCGCGATGTCAGCCACTGCCGCCCACTTCTCGATCGCAGCCACGCGCCCTACAGCAAATAGATAAATTGAGAGTAACCAACTAAAGGAACAATATAAATCTACTGGTTTGTTTGGCTCAAGAGGAGCTACATGCCCACTTTTTTTGTCACCTTATAATGTCATACAACGTTCTTACAGTAAATATTTTGAACAGTGATTTTTTTTACCAGTTAAAGTATATTTCTTCAATATCTCAGAGATGACCAGGTTAGAGAGGTGGTTGAAATGTCCCGTCATCATCAGGATATGAGGAGCGCGCTCCGCCTTGTCCGCCTTCGTCCAAGCTTGACCTAAGAACTCCCTGCGAGAAAAACATTTCACTAGTAATTAGGCATATTGTTGTCTCTTTCTTCCAAATAGGATGAAAGGGATGTCTATATTAAGTGCTCCGACAGACAAAACCCACAGTAACCAAGTAATAGAAGTCAAACTTCTTGAATAGTGTCTTGGACAAAATTCACAACTCATGCCTCATAGTAAACAGCGCTAACTTTTCTCCATCAGAAATTTTTAGCTGTCTATCTAATAGTATAATATTTGATATAATCAACTTACTCGCTATGGATGGAACTGAAGATCTGATAATCCAGATACGTCATTTGCTCTGCGATCTCCAACGCTGACAAGGTTTCGATGCTTTCCTTCGTTGGAATCTAAATCCGACACATGCATAAATTAAAAAAATACATACAAAATTATTGTAACTAAGCAAACCAACTAAACCTATATGGTAGAAGGAGGAAAGAATACTAGTTTTAAGGTACAAAATCCTACCCTTTGGAAAGAACCCACCTATTCATAGTATGTCGATATATTATATTACCTTAGTAGCCGTTGAATGAAAATGACACACGAAAAAGTTTAAAAAAGTTCCATACCGGTGGCGGTGCGAATATAGCTTTCAAATCAATAGCCCTGTCCGGCGCGCGCTCCAGCAAGCGCAGCAGTTGTGCGGCCGCCTTGTGCTCCGCGGGCAATAACCCAGGGCTCGCCTCGATCTCCTTCAGGAAGTCCATAGTAAGTCCACGCAGACGTTCGTCCGACCAGAAGTCCGAGGAGTGTTTAGAAATCCAATGCCTGGAAATTAACTTTGTTTAAGAATTCACGCCTCATCTTTTAAAAATCCTTTGTGTAAGTATCGAAATCAGAGATTCCTAAACTTTTTTCTTGACAATCCCTTTTTCTTAATGATTCTTCTGTAAGTATAAAAGGTTCAAGTTGAAATAGAATGACCGCAAAAAAAAAGAAATGAAATGAATATTTTTCTTTAATTTTGGAACCCTCAATTTTCTTCGAAAATTGCAACCTATGGTAGGACGGAAGGATAATGGATCATCAGTCGGCTGATCTCTATGTAACCTACAACTGACCTCAACACATTGAGGACTCTCATAGTAGCAGCAGTTGATATAACAGAGTCGCGTCTGTTGTGAGGCGGCGAGGTGGGCGGTGGTGACCGCGGGTTCGATGACGCTGAGGTGGCCACAGCAAATGCAACAGCCGCTGTTGATGTACTGCTCCTACACAAACCATACACCCATCAAGATTTTGACAAAGACAATTCATAGGATAAATCCTTTTGAAGTTCTTAATAAAATTCTTTGTATAGAACTTGTCATATATCTTTGCGGCTCGCAACATACAGTGTCGCGCAGAACACAATGTGCACAGCTAACTTTGAGTCGCCAAGATATTTGAATAGATGTGTCAATGACAATGCAAAGAATGTACGAATAGATAAAGAAGAAAGAGTATGTTAAGTAAAAATACATGAAGAAGACAAAGATATAAAACATGCAGAAAGGAAACAGTGAGAGAAAAAGTTAATCGACAGAGACGTTAAGTGATCACTAAATTTGTGTAGAAGTGAATGATGTAAGAAAAAAGTAGATAACGATATGAATAGAAAATGGAATCATGCAAAATGGAATAAAAATGATTTAAATGTTACAAAATATTTCAAAATATTAAAGCACATTTTATTATTTCGAACAAAAAAAACGCGTCGTACAAAATGTTATAAATTCACTAAAAATACGTACCCTATTATTTTAAAGAAAATATCTTTAAAACTGACGTACGTTCGGTGCAATCTACTTATTTAAAATTGCGTCTAAAATATCTAATTACTTAAGCAATTATTGCGAGCTAAAATTTTGCATTTTACAATTTCAATGTCCTCCAATTCCTAAAATTTTCGCCATAATAAAAATTCTAGATCAATCAACTTCACGTAAAGATAAAATTAGTTTAAATATTATACCTACAATAGTTATAATAACAGACTGTTTTTAATTATATAATAAAAAACTTAACTAAGACCTAGTTCTTAAGATTTTTTTTATACGATGCATAAACTAGTGCTTTAACACGACCCCACTTGATGTTAAGTGATAATTTGGCCGAAACCATGATTATCGGCTAGTCCCAGTTTGACGTATTTGACCGAAAGCCACTCTACTTTAGGAATGACGTCACACTTGGATAAATAAACTGACGCTGGAAGATTATGTTGTACGCAAAATGAACGATAATTTTAATAACAAAATTTTGCAGTAGTGTTTTATGTTCTTGTGTTTGGGGTTGTATTATAATTTGATCAAGGGTTGACATAGAAACTTTTTATAAATTAGGATTATTTTTCTAGGTTAAGCAAAATATTCTTCAAATACTCGTCTACGATGGCTCTACAAGGTCAGCTGTCTACTATCTTTACCTCGACCGCTCACTCACCACAACAGGTCTTTCCCAAAGCTGTTGAATCAATTTTATCCATATTATAATACACGCTTACCAACAACTATTAATTTAAACTAGAAAAAACAAATAATATCACCCTATCATGTTTATTTCAGATGAAACTTCGTGCAAAAGCAATAGTGATAATTTTAATTGATTAATAATTGAAATTCGTCAACAAATTATACATGCCACAACATCGAGAGTGAATTAAGATCTCCCGCTTTGTGTCCTAACAATTAACATGAGAAACACTAAGTAAAATCGCGGCTAAAATCACGTAAAGTAACCTTGTACGTACCGACTAGTTGCAGACCTTCACCTGAGTGAGAAATTGGATTGGATTCATAGTTGATTTTACGAGTAAACACTTGGTAAACGCACTGTAGTGCGAAGCGTGATTCGATGATTCGCGAATCCTGCCTATTAATTACTCACCCAAATTAAGGGCCCCCAACGAGTACGTAATTAGTCAGTAGTTTTTGCAAATGAGTCAGCCGTGATTTAACTTAGTATATTAGAATATTTCATGAAAGTTTCAATATGAATTGTTGAAATAGATCAAGGTAGATTGGACAGAAAGTTTACCTCCTGTGAGATTGCCGGAACGACGTGATGACTACACCAGCTTTGGGCTGGTTGGTGTCGCGACGATAGCTCTTTAACAAAAATAACTTTGCTTAAAAGAATGAAACATCGTTATAAAGCAATAAGAGCTACTTTTGAGTGTGTGATGGAAG